CTTTATGGTAAAATATTCAAAATACTTTCCTTTAGCATTTTGAAATGTAAAGTCCATTATTATTATCTATATTCATCCTACTGTGCAGTAGCCCACAGGGACTTCTTGCTCCTGTCTGAGTGTAACTTAGTACTCATTGATCAACCTCTCTCTGTTCCTCCCTCTGGTCCACTCCCCACTGTCTTTGTTGTAGAGAAGTAACAACAAACTTTCTTGGATAACTAAGGTGTTCCTCAAGGGCAGTACTGGTCAATGACAACCTTGTAAGATTCATCCCTCATATACATTTTTAGACTCTCACAGGCATTATACTAGGTAAGGGAAAACATCACAGTGGCATGTCTTTAAGATCAGAGACACAGTCTTGGGAAATATAAAAAGAAAAAAATTATGGAAGTATAAGGTACATAAGGTCAAGAATGTTTTTAAATCTTGGCTTCTTAAGGAACAGGGTCAATTAATCAAACTGAAGTTTTACTGCCAGCTAATGAGCATTCTGGTTTTTTAGCTTCCAGAAAAGAATTCCCCAAAGACTCACTGTGATGAGTACAACCTTTGCCAAAAACTATAGGAAAATGTTGGTGACTACTCACTTTTAACTTTTAATAATCATGTCTATCCACTGACATTTATTTCAGGAATTGAAGAGAATATAAAATGTGTCTTAACTTTAAGCAATATTTGCCATTGTAATATACATTCAACCTGTGTTGCCTAGAGTTTAGAATTTGACCAATCAAGCAAATTTCAAAAAGCAAAAAAGTGGTAGTAAGATTCATGTGTGTGCATGAAAAAAAAAAATCCTAAAAAATAGCAACAAAATAATACCACAATGTGTTGATGTTTTACATAGACGGAATGCACTTTTAACAATACTTTAGCAAATAATGTTATTTAGTCTGCATCTAAAACTAATTATCATAGTATATTTAGATAGTGTCAGGCATATTAATAGGCATTCAGGGTTTTCCCAGTTATTTTGCAAGTCAACAGTGCTGAAATGAATATCTTGTAACTTTGTGGTCTTTCTGCACATGAGTGAATAGTACAAATTCTTATTTGGGAATACTTGGCTTAAAGTAGCATTATTTCTAAGAATACATAAAACAATGAACTACACACAGCAGGGAAGCAATTTGCAGTTCAAGTACATATGATGAAAGAAATTGACCAAATTAGAGTTATTAGAATAAAAATAAAATTATACCAAGTTATTAGATGCACTGTGAGCTATAATAATATGTGCAAATTATTTGCAAAATAATAGGTATGAGTGTCTGCAAATTTAGAAATAAGATGGGAGAGACAGAAAAAGGAAAATAGTGAATAAAAGAACTTTTAGTGGTGTTTGACATAAATAAAAGAATATAAACAATGTATTGGATTTTTTTAATAGTTTCACATTTTAGAATTCCAGAACATCTGTTGTATCCTCCTTCATAATTCAGTATTATGTAAAACTATGAAACTATATTATAATTTTAATATTCCTTCCAGAATCTAAGTTTTCTCCATTGTTCTCTTTAAACTATAAGACAAGGCATTTATGTGAGATATTAATCTTATAGAAAGGGAAGCTTCCTAATAACTTACCTCTTTGAAGTGGGTGCATATCGAGAGCATGCATTTCCATCCCAGGCACAGTAGGGGTCTCTGGCAAGACAGCAGTCTGCACAGGCTTTCCCATAAGTGTCACATCTGTGCAAGGAGAGCTGAACCAATCCATCCCGGGAACCAATGTACAATTGTTGCTGCAAATCAGGCAAAACAAATGAATTATAAGCATCTTTCAGATGAGTCTTATGAACTTCCTCTTCTTGAACACCACATAATAACACTAAATCTGTTTCCCCGGGTGTCCTGACCATTGTAAACACTTGTGCAGAAATGTAATGAAGAGTAAAATAAGTCAATTACTTCTATCCGTGGTAGGACTGTGGTTTGAAGATGCTGATACTGTATTGCACAGTGTTCTATAAAGCTAGAGTAAGCTTGGCAGTAATTTAAGAAGTTCAAGAAACAGCTGCTAGACTAAGGAATTAAGATGTCAAATTCTCAATAGTAGGAATTGGTAGTTTATATCAAGCACAGATGCTATAGGCAAAACTGATGGCCTTTCTCTGTCACAGTTCCTTACATGAGAGACAACTGAAGAGATTAATAAAACTTCATTCCATTTTTAAATTATTTCATTTGATAATGAAGTATTGATCTCTGAGAGCAACTAAGTTATTTAGTATCAGTATAAAGAAAGCACTAAGCAGGCTTAGAGATGCCACATCACAAATGAAAGTGTAGGATACTGAAAAAACAAAAAAGCAAATAAATTCATATTTTTGAAAATTAGTCCTGAAATTGATGCACCATTCACCATGTATACTTATTTGAGTGTCTGCAGTGGTGGTAGTGGAAGGGGAAAGAGGGGAATTCCACACAGACTCTATACAGTCAATGAACTCATGGTCAACTCTAGTGGACCATTCCAGGCTTTAAGTAGAGGGGAAAACCCCTTATAAATAGATCTTAACATAAGTAACACACACAATCAGTAATGTGTCTTACATATTTACTGCCCATTAAGCTCTCAGTTAAACCTTTCTTGTTACTAAATGCACCAGCCAAGCTTTACTATCAATTTTACTTAAATTCTCTTCAGTATTTGAGACCAGTGACCATACCTTCCTCAAAACTCTCTTCAGCACTTTTTCCTATACTTCCTCTTTATTTCTGCCTAAGACGTTTGTCTCCTCTGTGATTCCTTCCTTTGAATTAAATGTCAGATTTCTTTCTTTTTTGTTCTCATGTCCCCTTTAATGGGAAACTCAAAGGTATCTTGAAAACAGCCAAATCAAAAGTATAGCAGTTCCCCTAAAGCTACCCACCTGCCCTTCCTTGGCAAGAGACACCATCACTCATCCAGGCACGCAAAACAGAAACCTGGGAGTTGTCTCTGAGATTTCGTTCTTACACCATCTGTCACCAGGTCATTTCCATGCCCTCATATAGAAACCTCTAATCTGCTTCCTTCTCTCCCTCTCCCTTTCCACTACCACTGCCTTTGCATTGGTCCTTATCATTTCTCTCCTGGATTACTTTTAAGTGTCCTAACTAATTCTGCTGACTTCTGCCTTCTTTTCCAGCAACTCCCACTTCTATCATAGGACCCAATCCATCTTTCACACTGTCACACCAGACTGATCCTTCTAAAACAGAAAATCTTATCATGACACCCTCCTGCTTGAAATCTTTAATGGATTTCACATCCTTAAGATAAATTGTTAACCATCTTGGGAGGACATGTAGAATGTGCCTAATCTTACCCTGGCTTACTTAGATTCATTTCTAGCCTCCATCCCCCTTGAACACACATGTCCTTGCTCTACTTGTACATAAACTTACTAGAATTAGCTATGGGCTCTTATTTTTCACATCTTTACAAATGTTCTCCCTTTCTATTTGGGGTATTCTCCTTTATCCCATCCCCTTTCTTATTTTTTCTGGTTACTACAATATCCTTTATGGCTCAGGTCACATGTCTTTTTGATATCTTCCCTTGCTCATTCTGGCTCATTTCAGGCTACCTTCTATGTATATTTTTCCATTATTACTCAGTGATCTGAGTATGCATCTTTGTTTCTACCATGAACTTCCGGAAGTTATGTTATGTCATTTATTGATTTCTGTACTCTTATAGCACATTTGTAGGCCTTCAAGAAATAAAGGTTGAATGAATGAACAAATTCATGGAAAAGATCTGAAGAACAAACCTATTTATACTTTGCGCTAATAATTGCTCGGCCATACTAGGCAGAGTATAGTAAGACAATTTTAGCAACATATTAATGTTGAGCATGTTAATCATGTGATTTTCTTAAATCTTGAGGGTACATATAGAAATGATAATGCAAGTCTGAATTGTAAATGAATTGGGATTTCAAATATCATACCAGGGAGCTATGAAATTACATTATATTATTATCATTATTATATATAGCTACTATTAACTCTACACTTACAATGGGCTACTCTGTTTAAAACATTAGCCTACAGCATCCTATTTAAACTCACAAGTAACATAGAAGGTTTTTCAACTTTGCTGTTGAGGAAATTGAATCTGAGTGATAGATATTGAGTAATGTGATGAAAGTTGACTGTTGGGCTATTTGCCACTGCAGTCCATATTCTAACTCCTACACTCCCTAATTAAAAATCTTTTTTTATGGTTAGAACTAACATTTTACATATATTTTTTATGAACTTGACAGAAAGACACCAGAAAACTGAGCTCAATTTTTAAGAGCCAAAAGGAAGGGGAGAATGTAGAATATAAAATATAGTTCAATAAGTGAACTTTGTCTCTATTCTTCCAAGGCAAGGTTGGAACAATGGTTTCTAATCAATAGTTTGAGAAACAAATAATCTGAAACTTTCTAAATTATCTGCAGTTTAACTTCTTATTCCAATGTATTCTTCAAATCAACATTCATTCACACAACTTATTACTTTTTAAAATATTTTTTACACCAAAAAGAGAAAGTACCTGCTTTAAAGATAACTCCATGCTCAAGATGATTGATGGGTGCTGAAAATAGAAAGTAAACATCAATAAAGATAACCATAACATGATTTTATATTAGTCAATATGTTGTTTTATTATATATATATATAATTACTGAAGTCAAAGTCTGGATTCTGTTTGCTATCTTTTTCCAATGTGTAGTGAATCTACCTTAACAGAAATGAGGAAAGTAATTATTTTAAAGTATCTTCTTAAAGAAAAACAAACTAAATTTATGAAGAAGCCTTCTATACTGAAAATTGTTCCCAGTTACTCACAAGTTTTCTACTTCTTTTAAATCTGCTTATCTTAACTGTTTCCATATAATTCAAACTAGTGTTGACAAGAACATCTCCATAATTATTTATTACCTCTTTCTGCTCTTACTTAGATCAGTGATTCAAACACTTGTTCAAGTAGCAGAGTTCTGAAAAGCTACAGTACTCCTTGTAGATGGCCATATTCTTTATGTAACACTATAAGATGTCAATGCACACAATTTCATGATATGAACTAGAGCCTGTTTTATATGTAGAGAATACAGTTGTATGCATGCAAAGTAGAATCAGAAACTTGAACATAAAAGCTATCAAATGAAAAAAGGATTAAAAATAGTTTATCTATTATCTATATTCTATTTATTTTCATTTATTACCTGTCTGTATTTACTAGTTTACAAATAGTAGCAGATGTCAAAGATTTAAGAAAATTCATAAAATAAAAATGTTAAGCAAGAAAGTTTGTTTCATAACTTTTTTTTAATGATTTATACAACGTGGCCAAAGTCATTAAATGATGTGTATTAATTATATATATTTTTAACATAAATTATACCTCAGTAAACATGCTTTTTTAAAAAGAGGGGGAATAAAAGAAAACAGAGAGAGAGAGAGAACAAACCATGGCATTGTTTAACTTCACAGTGAAGCCAAAGAATTCCTCTTGACTAGTGTCTTACAGCCACTGTGTTCTGTGAATAAATGTGTTCTGATATGCTTGTGTATTGTAGGGACTTTATTTAGGCCTCTGGGTTCACCCTTATATTTGACATCAGCCTTTCCCTTAGGAACCACCCAAGATTTTGTTTTGGTAGAGGCCAGATAGCAGGTCTTGTTCTTGTTAACTTCTTGACCACTATTATCATCACAATGTAAACAGGATCTGTGGAACCCAGCATGTTAATTAACTTGAGCCCCTCACAGTGGAGGGCTCTTCTCTCCTTTAAAGTCATAGATGTTTACAGGGAAACAGTTTTTAAGGAAGTTTTTTTGAACAAAAATGTTATTAAAAATCCAGAATATTTTTAAAAAGCATTTCCAAGAAATACAATTTTATTTCTAATGGCATTTTCAGGAAATACTTTTAAATTAAACTTCATTGAGGCTCTACAAAGAATGCCACAATTCAATTGCATTGTTAAAAGTCAAAGACATTCACATAACCTGGAGAATTCTTCTAGATCTACTAATTATCAGGGTTGGGGAGGGGGTCAGGACTTTGGCATACAGGAAGACTTACTATCATGTAACATATTTTTAAAATTTTCCTTACAGAAAAGCAGGGATATATGATTTATATTCTCTTCCAGTTTTCTCAAATTCAATTGGGGAAAAATTGCAACGTGAAATTTATAAAGTAGAAAAGCATCTGGATAGTAAAAGAGACCCCAGGCTTTCATTTAATGTGGCAATTTGTCTGACTATATGCTTAGAGAATGCAGTAATGAGAGGCAATCCCAGGAGCTCTCAATCAGTGGTATTCTACAGAGGAAGGTAAGGCCCATTCTTAGTTGCTTATAAAACTCTTTTCAATGCTTAGGGAAAAGAAAAAGAAGGAAACTGATTTCAAAGACTTTCCAGCAAAAGTGATGATGTATTAAAGAGTGCCCTATAGCAAGGAGTATGCAGTTTCACCCTCTCTTCCCCCTGCAACTCTGGACTAAGCCTTACCTTAAATATCTGCAACTCCTCCAGTACCACCTCTTCCATATTCCACTTCTCCTTTGAAATGCTGACAACTTTTAGGACAGTTCCAATGTCTGAAAAAATACATAATTTATAATCCTGCCGTTTCTATTTCAATATTAAGTATATTCCTAGAAACCATCAAATTGCTTGTCTCACTTTTCTTTAAATGTTTTTCAAGAAATCAGATTAAACATGAAGGCTAATGTATATTGTTTTGCCCTTAAGAAACATGATAGCTTTTAGCTAAAAGAACAGAATTTTATAAACAGAATTTATATATATATATCAGTGCATATTGTTTATTTTTCTTTCTTTCTTTCTTTTTTTTTTTTTTTTTTGGTATTATGGATTGAACTGAGCCACATCACCAGCCCTTTTTATATTTTGAGATGGGATCCTGCTAAGTTGTTTAGGGCCTCCCTAAATTGCTGAGGTTGGCTTTGAATTTGTGACACTCCTTGAACATAAAAGCTATCAAATGAAAAAAAAAGCATCAAAAATAGTTTATCTAATATCTATATTCATTTATTACCTGTCTGTATTTACTAATTGACAAATAGTAGCAGATGTCAAAGATTTAAGAAAATTCATAAAATAAAAATGTTATGCAAGAAAGTTTGTTTCATAACTTTTTAAAATGAATTATATAAAATAATTACAAATAATATACAAATAATTCCAGCCTCCAGAATCACTGGTATTACAGGCATGAGCCACCACACCTGACATTTTAGTGCACATTCTTAACAAAAGAAATATATGTGCCTAATTTAAGTATTGCTTAAAATGATAACAGAGATGAAACACATATTTTAGATCTTAATTTAAGATTCTAAAGTACATTAAAAAAACTAGTTTTACTTCTACATAGTGATCTCTATGCAGTAAATATTTATTGAATACCTATTATATCCAGTCTACATGAAGGAAACTACATCTCTTCAAATATATTCTACCTTTATAACCATTGTTAATATGGCAAAAACTAAAGTTTTATTTTAAATTATTTTAATTCAACTTAAAAGACAATACAAAACTAACAATGTAAAACAAAATCTGATGTTTAGAAAACATATCTTAAGTACATCATCTTATATTGCAGTTCTATGTGGTGGTATGCTAGTTCAGAGAGATATTCAAAAGACTACTTTAGAAAAAGGAAAAAAAATACCACTTTAATTAATTTATATAAAACAAATGTCATTAAACTGAGCGCAGGCATTGAAGAATAAGGGCATATGTAATAATGTTACTACATGCACAAATAGCCTGTGATATTTCATATTGTTTGTCAATGACTATGCAATCTTTGAAATATATTAACTATATACTTTAAGTGTCAAATTGACTATTTTAACATTGCCATAATTTTAGTTAAAGTTAGGTAGTACCACCTAGTGGCTGAATGACGTTTATCACATTGAACTGTTAAAAAGCTAGGAATGAGCTTTAGATGAACAGAGCAAATTAAATGTCAGACTCATGAGAAGTAATAACAGACTCATTATTTCAAATTCTGACCCCTTAAACAGCCATCTCTGCAGTCTTGAGAACACTCCTTATTTATATGGATCTTAAAATTGCCATCTGTAACATGATCATGTTTGACAATTGTGCTTCAAGTTAAGATTTCAGTTCAATTGAAACCATGTTTATTAAAAACAAAAAGGAACAAATCAACAGGTCACAAAAATACCTTAGACAGCACTTTAATAATTTATCACTCAAATGCTTCCTAAGAAACCTAGCTTCTACAAAACCAATTTGGTTTTAAAAACCAAATAATTCTAAAATTGTTTTACACACTTAAAAAAAACTATTCCAATAAAAATGTCTGTCAAAAAACCTATTAATCTCTATTTATTTATGAAATGCTCAATATATTAGATAACATAGTGTCTAAAATGCAACATTTTTACTTTAATGATACATACTATCATTACTGCCATTAGAATTCACAATAAAAAAGTATTATTAGATAATATTTTTTCCTATTTTGGAGACTCACCAAAAATGTAGTGTCTCCTGCAAACAATACATTTAACTCATTTTGTAATTACTGAGTTAGCAAAATAAATAAATAAGATGATCTTCAAGAATGAGAGTCCACAAAATTTATTTTAATCTACAAAATTCAAGAACAGAAAAAATAATCTCTAAGAAATTTCTGCTTAAAATCTTTACAAAATAATGATTAATGTTTTTGAAAAGCCATATTAAGTCAACTAAGCCAGTAGTTCTCAAACTGAGAGTCCTTGGGGTAGAGCTTATCAGATACCCTGGTGAGAGAGGGAAACGTAAAGTTGGAAAATAAATTGCTTTGCTCTATTAATTTAATTTTAGTCCGTGGTCATTCAACAAATATGTCTTGAGCACCTAATCTATACTAGGCCCATTGCAACCACAAGATACAAATATATTTTTTAATCTTGCATAGTACAGCAGATGTTTATAGTATCAATTAAAAGCATGTGTTAAATAATTTTAAGAAACACTGACAAGGTATGGTCTAATAATTATTCATTTTTATTTTGACCAATAAATAATTTTGAAGATTTTGCTTTCTTTATCAGACAATGAAAAATTCCTTTGAAAGAAAGCTTAGTCTAGTTTGAACTCACCTGTTCCAAGAAACATTACATCATATTGTCCGTCTTCTGCAACGACATGATCCACCACTATCTGAGTCAGTCTGTAATCCACATTGATTCGCTTGAAGGTTGGTCCTCCTGCAACCGGGTATACTGCCTTGTACATCACAGGGTGCCGCTTTATGAAACTGATGACATCATCTGGGAAATCTCGGGTGGATTTAACCAGTGGGTCATAGGTTTTACTTGGGCACTAAAAAGAAATGTAAATGAGACACCATTTATGTACTTAAGAAATTTACACTTGATTCTAATGAAGCTTTTAAGATATATCATGGATAATATTGAAGGAATGATATGGAATCATATCCAAATACACCTGTAAATAAGTGTAGTGGACACCTAATATATTTAAATCCCATTTTACACCTCAAAAATATTCTAAATTATATCTATATTTTCTAAATTTTTCCATAGTGAACTCTTTATACACACTATTGATTCTTATAAAGATTATTGTTTCTAATGAAGATACTTGGAATTTAGGTTGAAATAAATGTTAAACTGTTAAACATGTGAATATATGGAAAACCATAATATTCAGTGTCCCTTGAATAAAGTTAAGATTTTAGTTCAATTGAAACCATGTCTATTAACAACAAAAGGAACAAATCAACAGGTCACAAAAATACTTTAGAAAGCAGTTTAATAATTTGGAATCATAATTATCTAGCTTTATTATAACTGGTGTGAAAATTATATTGGGAAATTCAACAGTTCTTCCACTAAAGAATCTGTGAAGAAATCCTTGGAGAATTTTCCCCTTCTAAAATTGCCCCTTGTGTCACTTTGAGAATCTACTAAATAAATAGCTAGCATAATCTGCCCCCTGGTGGTAAAAATTTAAAAGTCCAGCTTGGTACAAATTTAATGAATTTCATGTACCTTTATCCAAAAATAAGGAAATCAATTTACAATTTGACTGTTTTTCAAAAAATGTATCCTAACTTATATCCTAAATCTAATGTATATTTAAAAATATTATAATTTAGTAAGTTATCTTATAGAATAATAGTGTTAATCATTTGAATTATTAATGAACTAACAAATTTTTTGGAAGGGAAATTATAGTTAATTGATACAGGTAAATAGAAGAAATGAGAAACATTAGAGAAAATTTATATGAAAATTTTTCCTTTTCTTTTTTAGTTTTCTTTTTGAGTTGAAACATTGATCTCAGCCATTTCTACTAGGTACTCACTATAATCCCATCAGGGCTCCAAAAACATTCCACTTGTCTAAAGTTCATTCTTAAGGAGCTGTAGATCCTGAAGATTTCATAATTTATGACCCTGACCCCAAACTTCATATGCATAAAACCATAATGTCTCTTTTTAAATTATAAGATATATCTAAGTTGTACTAAAATAAGTGTTAATGATTTTCTTCAATTAATTTAAGAATATCTATGGTTCACCAAATCTTGAATGTCTAAAGAAACTGATCCTTTATTGACATCTCTTTATTTGTCCCAGGTCTGTAACAAAAGGATTAGAAATGTCCTAGTTCATTAGCCATTTGGTACTTATTTAGTTATCCTTAACTGGATGTTGGTCTAAAAATGAAAGTCTGTGTGTTTGGTCATTTTTTTCTGAAACTTAGCCTTCAGCCAAGTGGAATCTATCAACTTGATAATGGAAGGAACCGTGTATTAAATAGGTTAAGCAGAGAATCAGAGTGGATATGAAGCTCAAATAATACAAAGCTCTTGGCCAATTACAGGCTGCATGTTTGAGGCTTAGTCAAAGGCCACTCACAGTAGACTTACAGCTTATAATGCCTGTGGTTCAATTTGGTTGGTTATCATTAAAATCAAAGCAAAAGCAAGATTTTGCTTGTATTACATTTTTGAAAGAACCTTCCAACTTAAGAGCAAAAAAATCTCTTTTGACTTTGTAGCTATGGTTACTCAGTAGTCAAAATATGAAAAGAAATAATATCATGACATACAAGCCACAATTTTTGATATCACATTTTAAATAATTAGAATTTAAGGTAAGAAAGTACAGATGAATGAAGATGGAAACCTTTAGTTAAGAAAGATGTACGACAATTTTCCTCAGTCCTTGCCTCTGACAAAATATAATAAATGTGTAATAAAATATAAGGGTTAAAAAAAAGGAAAGAAAACCTGGTTTTTATCCACTATCATAAAATGATCTTTGGAAATATCATTTTCTTGGGGCAGTTTTTCCTCATGGCCTGCTGCCAGTGTTTGGATGAGATCCTTATCCTCTCCGTTGCTATGTGTGATCTCTCAGGTCCGCATCACTCTGCTTGCACAAATGAAAGTGATTTGAGAGAGTTACTCCCTGAGGTTCAAGATAGTACAGTATGAACCAAACATTGTTATTTTAGTACATTCAATCCAGTGGAATTTTTGCTTTGATATCATATAGCTGTGCAGTGCACAGATTTAAAATAACGAGATGCCAAGCAATGTATTTAGGTAAGAATAAAGTAGAAATGAAAATTCCATAAAGGAAAAACATGAAGTATAGGGAAACACTCCATGTAATGCAGATGCCATATTCAGTCATTTATCTTCCTTTAAAAATTCCTAGAAAAATTTCCTATTGCAGCTATACATCTGGGTATTGAAAATCTCATAAGTTTTTCTCTGTGTCTGTCCTTTTAATTCCTGGCTATTCACATAGTCTAGCTGAATATCCCATACAGGGTCTTTTTCATGTCTGCTCACAGTTTTCTAACTTTACCTAATTTCCATCACTTTAGATCTTGTGTGTAGAGGAAATAACTCAGGTAATTTATCTGTGTCTCTACTATTTTGAAAAAAACTGTAAGACAACTTAAAATTTGAGGGGAGAGAAAAAAATTTAAAAAGAAAGGAGAAGATTAGCTAAATGTAAAAGATGCCAGTATCTTGCTGGAAACATTAATACCATCACAAGATCTGAGAAAAAAAGAATCTGCCTAGAAAAACCTGAGATGAAAGGGTAAACACAACAGCAATGAGCCTGGTTCAGCGCCTATCTCCATGGCTGGCTGCCACAGCTGGCTAGGTGTGATCCTGTTATGCTTGGCAAATCCTTGTGTTTGTATAGGGCCTTTAGGAGTGGAGTGGGAAGCAATGGATAAGAGAAGAAAAATGGTTTTTATCCAATGAGAGAACTTTGCCCCTTGGCAAGGCACCAGACAGCTGTTAAAAGTTTTCTCCCCCTGCTGCTTCGGGCTATTCTCAACAGGTTGCAGTTTCTCTTTAAACAGATCAGAGGAATGACTAATGTGAGCGAAGACATGGCACAAAGAAAGACTGAACCAGGCTTTCATTTTCAGCAAACTGGGGAAACTAAACTGAATATTTAATGAATGGTATGTAAAGGAAGTCTGATTCATATTTATAATGTAAAAATGCAAATTCAGTAAGTGCCGCCTGATCACTGTGATTATCAGAGAGTTGGCCTATAACAGATATGGGAAAGGAAGGATCCTGTCTTAAATATCAGAGATAGAAAGGTCAGGGATAGAAAGGCCAGAGATAGAAGTGCAGAGGTAAATCACTCCCCCTCTGTTTTTAAGATTCCTTTCACTTCCTGGAATTTGTACACCAGAAAAAGCAAAACACTAGTAAGCATAATAAGTAGACTATGATTTGAAGAACTTCTATTTAAAAGCAATAGTTGGCCTATGGAAATAAAAACCTGATATCCAGTTGGAAAGGTTAATTCATGTGAAGAAACCAGTTGGTTCTTATCAATTTATGCAAGGGTGCTTAACCACTGAGCCACATCCCCAGCTCTTTTTATTATTTATTTTGAGACAGGGTCTTGATAAATTGCTTAAAGCCTTGCTAAATTGCTGAGGCTGACCTTAAATTTTTAATCCTCCTGCCTGTGCTTCCCAGTTGTTGGGATTACAGGCTTGTGCCCCCAAACCAGGCTTGCTCTCATCGTTTTGGAGAAATGAAGCCTAGATCTAGATACAGAGGACTGACAGGGATGTTTTGTCAGGCACTGTCAGTGTAACCAGTTTTAAGAACTGAGACTCAGGATGCTCCAAGTTTAGTTCTGTCTCTGCTACTGTCTTCTAGAGCTAAATCCCTGGAAAGAAAGGATTTAGAGTTATCTCTAGCAATTTGAGAGAGGTAGTGACAAGGAAATAGTGGTTTGCTATCCAAGAAAATAGAAGGCAGTGCAATTGAACAGATATTAAGGGGGAAATAAAGCTGAATTCAGTATGATGAAGAGGCATAAGTAATCTATAAAAATGCAATTTCCCCAAAGTTTTCTACAGATTTTTAAGTTAACTAGGAAAGCCCTTAAAGCCTTAAAACAAAATGAAACAAACAACAACACAATGTTAACCATATTCTTCAGATGTACAAAGGAGGGGATAGGTCAAGACACTGAGGGAATACTTCCGTCATATGCCATATTTCTCAGTTTCCTTTGGTAAGACTATCGCAGTCTCACCAAACTGTAGAAATCAAGAGGAGGTTTCATTATATACATCTTGAATTACATGTTTTACTTTGGCCAATTAACCTATATTTGGAAGTCAGATATCTCTTTACTACAGTAAAAAGGACAATTCTTAATGGGAACAGCACAACTTGTAATCAATCTTCTGACAATTTTGGATCTTCATTAATTTAATAAAGACATAAAATTCTGAGAGCCATCAGCTCTCTAGTGAAAGAATGTATGATGGGACTAGGCCAAAGCTTACGCCGAATAGTTTAGATGGAGCCTGTACTCTGAGAAAAACAGAATGCCAAAGAATTTTGAACTTGTGGGTTCCATATGCATCTCTTACTATTGTGGATTCCATGTTCACCTCAAATCCTGGCTGTTGTGAATATAAACCAGGGTAAAAGTTGAAAATTCTCCATAAAATTTCTTGTTGAAGCACCATTACATATATCCAGTCTGCTGTGTAGATCATTCTCAACATTGTGTTATTTTTATCCTATGAGAACCCCTTAAGGGTTTGATTTTGCATGACAAAACCACAAATTTGCCTCAAGTAAGACTCAGTGATGCCCCAATATGTAAAAGTGAAAAAGATCTTTCTAGCCCAGGTGAATATGCCAGGTCTCTGAGTAGGTCTATGTCTTATTTGCTAAGACAAATTTTTTAGTGGACCTGAAATCAAAAGAACCTTCTAATTTCTCAATGTCTTTTACACTTCTAATAATTTGGGAGAAAATAAATAAGAACTGTTTAACACATC